GTTGTTAACTTTGTGATTCTTCTTGTTACGATTTTATTTTTATTTTTGAACGTAAGAATCCAAGTGTCTGAAGCTTTGAAGTCAGAAAGATAAACTTCTTTTGCCATTTCCAGAGCCATGCTTTCAAGATTGCATCGTGAATTTTTGCTACCAGTTGTCTAGCTATTTTAAATTTTTCAAAAACGTATTCGCTCATGGCAGCATACTTTTCTCGGTTTGTACCTAGATGGGGCAATTATTCTTCGAATCATGTGATATAATTTGGATATTTCACTCTTCTGAATGTATGATTTGTAGACTTAAATGAGTGTCCACTATTCACATAGTCAATAGCACGAGTAATATAATCAAATAAAAAAACTTCTTTATCCATCGATATGGGTTCATGAGTGGCAACATTTTCAATATCCTGTTCGCTTTCATCAAAAATGAGCTCACCATATTGTTCATGATCAATATCTTTTGTTCTATCCAAACTGCTGAAAAGATTTGCCACCGTTTCTATCAAATTTGGGTCATTCCTGTAGCAATCTCTCCGATTTTTCGGTACTTTCTGAAGCCCCTTCTCAACAAATTTCGCAGCTGACAAACTCATAATTATAATTAATAACCAAAAACTTTGTAATTCGATAAAAAAGTAAGAAAAAAGGCAAAAAAATAAAATGGCGATGAGAGAAACGGAATGAAGATAACCTCTAGCGACCTGAAACCGAAAAGGTGGCAGCTAAAATTGGTATAGCTGACCTCAAAGGCATGGTCTATCGATGCCAATCATCGATTCATCGATATCGGTTTAACAATTGGCGAGGTTCCCTTGTTAGCACAAGTCCAGCAAATACAATTATCTTTGTAGTCTGACAAGGGAAGTAAACCAGCTGGTATGGGCCGATCAAAAATCCAAAAACCATCAAAATGAACACTCGAAAACATTAATTTATTTTATGATGCGAAATAGATTTTTTTTAGTTTAAATGTAGTTTTTTTCGGATTTGAGTCTTGCGAGAAATTTTTCGATTGTTCATTTTGTTGGTTTTTTTAGATTTTTTCGCAATTAGAAATTGCAGAAAAAACTGTTGTCAGATTTGCGTTACTCATTATCATTTACACCTGAATAATTTGATTTTACATGTATATTTTTCTTAAATACCACGATCAACGATCAAACTCCACGATTTTGACCTCCACGATCAAAACATTGTGGTCCTGTAACTTTTTTCAGATCGATTTGCTCATTGCGAGATTAGTGTTTTCAAGGGTTTTCTGACACGGTTTTCCATTATATCCACTTTCATTTTTATCTGCCCGTACCAGCTGGGTTACTTGCTTTGTGAGGTACAATTTGCTGATGAATGTGGTGATGATGATGATTATTGTGATGATGAAGGACCAGGCTTAGGCACACAAAACTCACAAAACAATTCGATTCACACAATCTAAATTGCGAGTTTTCATAAATTGGTGATGTCTTTGTTGTTGACACTCATTTTAAAAGTTTGGGCGAACAATTCAGTAAACCAGTGCGGAATGTAACTGAAACGTGAATGAATGTTTGTTTTTTTTGTTGGCAACTTCTTGCTCATTATCAAAACATTATCGCAAACGAAAACAAAGCAACTCATAGTTAAATTGTTAATTATCAAGGCAAACACAAAAATTTAACTTTTTACGGTTGATGAATTTAACACCCAACTGAACTAAATTCAGCTCAAGGTGAGGAGAGAAGTTAAGTAAATTGCTAAAAGGTAAAGTCAGAGATGAGGAAGAAGATAAGTAGAATGAGTGAAACTTAAATTCACAAAAAATTAAAATTAGTGGTTGATGAATTTTCTCTTTCTCTCGACTGGAGTCAATTCAACTCTTATTTTAATTTTTCACTTGAATTCAATATGGGTATTTTACTTCACTTTGAATACAGTAAAATGGTAAATTGACTAATGATAGAGGTAGGGAGAAAAGCAAAGTAAATTGCTGCAATTTAAATTTATTTGTCCTATTAGCTAATGAACCTCGGAAATTTTTTACTATATTTGCAAGATGTAAGCATGTTGAAAATGAAAAACAGTTGAAGAGTTTGATTAAAAAAATGATTCGAAACGATTGAAAATTATATTTTGTCAAATATTTTTTATGAATGATGGAGAATAAAAATTCTGTTGAGTCGAAAAAAACAAAGAGTTAAAAATTTAACAAAAGTGTGCTGGAGCCAGCCATTTTATACATTGTACTTTGTACCACTGCCCAAGTAATAACTTTTTGAATGTTGAAAAACAGATAAAATTAAACATGATAATGTCCATATGGCAATTGAAATATTGTATCTATGTTGTTGTATTTGTTTCGGCATCTTGGCCATCAGTAAACAATCGTTATGATTATCAGATTTATCTTTTCTTTCAATTTCAATGACATTCTGGTCAATCATTACTTGAACCACACTAACTGCGACACCCTTTAAAAAAAGATACTCACTTGAAATGCAAATTTTAGCTATAGAAGCAAAAATTTTGGGTCAGAGGAATAAGTGTAAAATAGTCATCACCGTTTCAACTTGGTAAATGACCAATACACTAAACTATTGATTGGCACTCAATAAATAGATGGGCTTTGGCTACCATCATAAGAAACTCACCTTCATTACCATCATCGCGATCATCGCCATCACTTTCATCAGGATAATTTGAGCATCTAGAAGACGTCGAAGGGCGACTTGCTTTGCACTCACAATTTGTCGTTCAGCAATGATAACGCAATTGATACATGTGCATGAAGCAAACCTACAATACCTTTTGTGGCCTTTTTTGGGTACTTTTTCGCCATGGTTTCGACAGCGAGCACATAAGGGACGACGAGTGGTTGGTTGTTTAGACGATTGTGGATTCTCCATGAATTTATAGAGAAGTAAAAACTGAAATAAAGAATTTAATGGAAATGTTCAAACAAACAGAATAGACCTTTAATGTATCCAGTCGAGTTAGTAGACTTTGTTGAGCTATATTCAAAAAATATGATTTAACTGCAAGCATAAAAATTTGCAACTGGAAAGTTAACACAGTTTAAAAACAATCAGTGTGAATTGACAAGAAATGAACTGGAAGATAATAAACTTTAAACTAAAAAACTTTTCACTCTTTGACTGCAAACTCTTCTGGTTGAGTTGAACAATTGACTAAACCAGTGTGTCCCTCTATGGATGCCGATTGTCTATTGACTTTACTTTTTCGGGTTCGCTTAAATTGAGCGAACAGATTTAAGCAAATCTCTTTGCGGCATATATTTAAAAGGCAAATCAATGAGATCACCTAGCCCCGTAAGTACCAGATAATGCCAGTAACTTGAAATAGCTTATTTACACAGCAAGTGCTATTAATTGAGTGAAGCATTGTCAGAAAAGCTTACAAACATTAGGCTCAAGATTAGCAGGTTGAAATGCACCGCATTGTTAATAATTTTCTTAATAATATTTAGAATATTTCTACCAAAATTTTCTTTATATGACATGTAAATAAAGGGGTTGAGTGGCAATTGATTATTTAGTCGACATTATTGGTACTTTACTGTAGCTCATTTAAGTTATATAAGCTGGCTTCATCTATTGAATCTCATCATTTTTTGTGCAAAGCTTTTCGTATAATTTGAAATGATGAAAATCAGTGTGGATGTGAAAAATTAACTTTCGATGCTCATCGTAAAGGTGAAACCTAAAACTAGTCAAATCGTGATTAACAAAACTGTCACATCCATTCGCTCGACTGTCGTCTTCAGATTATCTGAGTGTCTCAAAATTTTCTCAGTAAACAAAGGGTTTTAAGATTCTTAAACAAACGTAAATAAAGGGACTCGTCCACTGATTCGCTCTCACTGTTTCAAACGAGCTTTATAATTCAAATTATACTTGTTTGAACTTTGACTGATTCTTCTTTTCAATTCTGTCTAAATTTTCTGAGAGTTTGACTAAAAAGCATGAGAACTGTTGAAACATTTCATAGGAGTTACTGTTTTTACGTCTGGTTATTACGTACGAAACGAAACATTATGGTAACTTGTCTAAAGTCATCGAGAAACGCTTTACCAGCCCTGTAAATAAAAGGCTTTAGCACTTACACTCATCCTCTCATAACAGGACAACTGTGAAATAGCATTTCAAGCTATTTTTAGAGACTGTTTTGTATCAATAGTTGCACACAGAATGGCAAGTTGATCAATCCTTTTATTGCTGCTAGATGGAGTTGAAAGGTTGTTATGAGAGTATCGAGTTTAGTCCTTTTTGTCTTGAAATTTTTCAAATCTAAATTTTCATTACTGAATACAACAATTAAGTTAACTATTTTAAAGTGTTCAATAGCTGTTTAATCACTGATTAAATATAATCAAATTAAGAACTTAAGTGTTCAAGTGTAGAACGAAAACGGTAAAACGCCATTGACTGATGATGAATGGCAAATGGTTAAACTAATGAAACATGAAAGCGACTCCATCAAATGATCAAAGACTATTTTCTAATAGTGAAATAATTTCATTTTCCCTATTTAGTTATTTGAGTTTAATTAATGTAGTAATCAATGTTAATAATTAAACTGTAATCAGGATCACAGGAACTTTAAAAACACTGAACCTTTTGAATCTGCCCACACCTCATTCAATTTTTTTTTATTCATACCACTCAAGTTTAACAGTGTTTAAATTGCTTATGTTGTATAAAACATTGGTTTGATCACTTGGAAATGTTGATTAATATTATGCATGCCGTTATTAATTTCAGTTAAGTTTACACCTTGAGTTAATATGCAAACTGGTTAATGACTTTGATTGATTTGTTAATTAAACTAACTTAGTGTTTAATCATCTTTTTACCCTGTTTTTACCCTGTGTTTCAATGTTCTGTTGTCTTCAGTTTGATAATGGGTTGATAACAAGAAACAATCATGCGCTTCGAAATAAGAAATGAAAATATTGCAAGGACAATGTCGAGATGGCAAAACAGGCAACAGAGTTAAAGCAACTTTAGTAAGAGCAACTTGTGTTTTCAATATTGACAGTGATTAGAATCAAGCAAACTAATGGCTCATCTTGTGCATATTTATAAATGTAATTTAAATTTAAATTGTTGACTGTAATGTGCCAGTGTCTACAAGTGCATCCAATTGAATAAACTTGGACATAACATCAAAGCCAGTAAAACTTTACCAAACTCAAAGTTACCTTCAACACATGAGTAAAGTAAGTCAAATCCTTTTAACCGATTTCAATCCAAATTAGCCGATTAATTTTCACTCAAGATTCACGATTAGTTTAACCATCTTTTAAGTCTATTTAACTTCTTAACAGTTATCAGCAAAACGCATTAACTCGTCGGGTGAAAACATGAGTCTATTACTGAATATCTAAAAGACTTAAAGTTAGATTCTTTTTTGATGAATTCAACCATTTTTCCATTTCAATAACTTCTCTCAATTGTTATTTTTCAACTGAATTGATAATTAAATTACCATATTTAAATTTTCTTTACAATTTTGCCGTTAAATTGAAAAAAATGTCAATTTACTTGGAACCATTTCTACCTTTGTTAATAATAAATTACCAATGGGTAAGAATGGAAAAAATTGCTTATTTTGATGTTACCTAAAAAAGTTATTCCCTTCCCAACCTGTCATGATAAAGGCATCAGCTATAACCTGAATGGGAATCCCAAAATTGTATCAAGTAAATAACGATACAAAATTAAACAGAAAGATAAAAAAGGTTAAATCTGATGAAAAAAGTTTTCTTTCTTGTGCCTTCTCTCATCAAATGAGTTGTCAAAAGTGTCAAAAAATTGAAAGGTTAACAAAAAACTGGTAGACAATAAGTGTGTCTATTAGACTGCGATCTGTAAATTGATGAACATTTAAACGAGTTTCTCTGTCTAAGCGCATTTCACCTCTTTTCTTGACCCACGGTTGCAATCATTTGGACAGTTGAAATGGTCATGATGTAGACAATAATGATACAAACAATGGTTAAACTGTCTTTAAAATTGTGACCAAGTTAAGTGTTCAACTAAAGATGATAATGATGATGTTGTTGAGAGGATTTAAGTTGCAATTTTGTACCAAAAAATCACCAACTTGTTTCAAGTTGCCTTCTTTTTTAACGACAATTTAAACGTTAAATTGTTGAATATTGATGGTGATGGAGATGATGATAAATTGTGATGAAACTGACAGACGAATTAAAGTGGAAGAAGATGAAATTGGAAAAAAAGAAGAGGAAAGAGAAGGCGAAAAAAGTGGATAAAAATGTGAATTCAAGTTGAGCAAAGGATAAGATTTGAATGTTAATCTGGTAAAGGAGAGGAAAAGTGCGCGACTGGATTGTGAATGCAATTGAACAAAGTGATTATCGAAGAGAGTGAAAGGGAAGATGAAGGAAGAAGCTGTTGAAGATGAAGAAGAGGAAGGTGAAGATGGGAATGATAATAAGACTGTAACTGGTGGGAGGTGAAAGGCAGGAGAAGAGAAGAAATGAGAAGCAAAAAAAATAGAAGCAACGGAATGACTGGGAGTGAAAATGTTGCAGTAAATTTATCAAGTGGATGGGACAATCTTATAATAGATATATTATATCATATTTTACTGTTACCTTAGCATGTAATAATACAAAATAATAGTGAAAAATTGTGTGACCAGGAAACTGCTAATAACATATAATAAACTTGCCATTCAATCTGTTGTTTTGTTTTCATCTTTTCATCCAAACTTTACTGTTGACTATTGATTGCCAACTTTCACGCCATTCAATGTATTTAACTCAACAATTTAATCCTCATTAAACTCTTTTCACCCATTTTAATAGATTTAATGGAAAAGAAAAATTCCTTTCCAAATTGTTTTAATACACAACTTTGGATGAGGAAATGAAATTCTGAGAAAGTAATCGTTTTCACTGTTTTAAATTGTTCATTTGCTTGATTTAATCGAAACTTATCTCGCATTATTTCAGTTAGAGTCAATTGTTTTTTCAATATTTTTGCTTTGCTTTTTACTTCTTAATTGAAGACAAATAACTTGTCTGATTAATGACTTTTAATTATGATTCTTGTAATGATGATGATGCTTTGTTTGATATCAATGATCAGTGAGAGGACAAATAGTCTCATTAAGGAATTGTATCAACACTGAGTGAATGCAATTTAATTACTTTACTTTAAACTTGTTGTTATTTATTGTCAACTATAATTGTAATGGTAAATGAAAAAAAGCAACTTGCAGAGTTAATGATGTGCACTGTAATTGGTACATTTGTTTATGGATAATCAATTTTTGTACAAATTTTTACTCCTTTCAAACGCTAATTTAAATTGATCACGTAATAGCATCGAGTTGTATCATTAGCTTGTTGTCAGTCCATGAGGCTACTGAATCTAGCTTTTCAAACTTGGCCAATAATGTTCTGTTCAAATACTGTTGAGTTAAATGTATATTGGAATATATTATGACTTTTGTTGTAATACGAAGTTATTCTGATGATGTTCATGTTTTCATCTGCAATGAATTTGAAATTGAATCGCAAATTTTTATTAGAATCAAATCAATTTTCATCAAACTTGCCACCAATTGAGTTGAACTACATTTTTAAATCAGCATCAATTTGTTTTCATTAAACAACTTGATAAGTCTTGTAAGTTGGAAAATAATAAAACTCTTGCTCAGTTGTGATGCATCTTAACTTTTTGAACACATGCTACATATTATTAATATAATAAGATCAACTGTAATGGCTTTGTTCGCTGGTTATGTTTATCAATTTACGATTGATAATACAGTGATTTTAAAAAGAAAACGAATGTGCCTCAGAAAGTAGGAAATGTTTCTTAAAAACGATGAAATGGGGATCAAAAGATTAGCTCTTTGTTAATCTTTCTCTCACCTTTGGTGAAATGGTTCTTATTTACTTTGAATGTTCGTTATTTTGGGTGAAATTTTAGGTATATTTAGGGAAGAATAATCAAAAAAAATTAGTTAGTATTCAGACTTTGAAACAGTGTCCAAAATAATTTGTGAAATAGTGAAAAAATTGATTATTGAGGCCGATAGACAACGCAAGTTTCATAAAGATATTGCTCATCCTTTTGGTGTGACCGTCAATACAGTGCGAACAATAATTCATCGATTCAAAAGTTCGGTGTTCTCAAGCGACCTAATGGTCATTGACCAGAAAAATCACCTCAATCGATTGTTGATGAATTACGTTCATAGTACGATAAAGATTGTACACTGGCCCTTGATGGGGCTAAAGATAAAATTATGGAAAAGCCAATACCAATGTGTTCATTCGAATCAATTCTTTGTATTGAAGTAGAACCAGTAAATATTTTACTTTTGTGTCAGAAATCCGATTCTCATTAATTTTTTTCACAGAGGAAGTTGCGAAAAAAAATTCAGCAATGAATTTCTTAAAATGAAAACACATTTTACTATTATGAGTGAAAAATAGTGGCGTCGGTTCACATAAGAATGTTGATTTTTCGGAGGCCAAACAATTATTTATGTGACAAATGTCACAATATAAATGTGGTAATTTTTTACATTGCCATTTGGCGATAGAATCATCGTGGATCAAGCAATAATTCTGATTATGAATTCGAACACGATTGTGGATGGTGTCAGTTGAAGAATCCTGGCAATCAGTACACACAATTCTTAAATCGGCGATGAGCAATTCGTTGGGAGATGAAAAACACTCAATACAAAATAATTTGTTTGCAGTATCCATGTTGAATGAACTGTAATGAAATGAAAAATAGTGAACATTAAAATGAGTCCAGAAATAAATCAAATGGCGTTAAAAGCACATGGCGTCATTTACTTACCTAAAGTCCATTTCTTCATTCGTATCCTCCATATTGAGTGCGATTTCAGAATTTTTAATGTTTTAATTAAATTTATTAAATTGTATTCGAACAATATTCTATTCTAATTAGAATTCAAAAAAACTGCTGAAATGCAGAACAATGCAGCATAGATAGAATAAGGTGTGATAAAAGTTGTGTTTAGATCCGCCTTAAATCCAAACGCGCCCCCTTCAAAACGTAAGAATCCAAACGCGCCGCATTCAAAACTCTAAGGCTTTAATGTGAGTTCATGATTTAAAGCGTATACTTAATTTTGAATGGCGCGGACGAAATTAGCGAAAAAAGCATATCAGCGGCGTTTAAATCAATAGGAGTGTTTGTTTTCAATAAATATACGTGATTAAAAAAACCTGTTTTCTAGTGCTCACCTTAAATGTGAATACGCAAGCTTAAGTGGTTGACTGGGTGCTAGGTTAAGTAGAGGTTAGGCAGAGCTTTCGGAGCTTCCGTCAAAGCTATACGAGGAAAAAATTACTCAATTTGTGCTGCAATTGCTTATCGGTCATTGTTTTTTTACGAAGCTAAAGAAAATGTTATAACACCGATATTTTGTTGAATTCGGACAATTTATAACTCATTTAAATAATGAAAATATTTCTGGTGCTACAATAATTATGAACAATGTAAGATTCCACCATGCTCAGGATGTCCGAGCTATAATTGATAACGCTGGTCATAATTTGCTTTTTCTTCCAGATTATTTACCTTTCTTGAACCCTATCGAAGAAATGTTTAATCAATTAAAACAATATGCCGAGTTGTATAAGCCAAAAACACCAGAAGAGGTGTTTACTGGTGAGTTAGCATCTCAAGTTATTTCCGAAGATAATTGTAAAAATTATTATACACATATGCTCTCATATTTACCAAAGAGCTAATCTTTTGATCCCCATTTCATCGTTTTTAAGAAACATTTCCTACTTTCTGAGGTACATTCGTTTTCTTTTTAAAATCACTGTATAATACAAAATAGCTTGATGATGTACGATACTTTGCGCAGGTTGGATATTTTCACTGACAACAAAAGCGTCAAGTTTGCGTTGTTTGATTGAATTTAAGGCAAACTGGTGTTGGTTTTCCACGATTTCGATGAGTATTTTTAGGCTTGAAATTCGGAAAATCAATGTCTTTCAATTTTGATAGCTTAAATCCTAAATGTGGAATTTTAAATTTAACTATTTTGGCGGTTAAAGTGAAATTTTTGACTCGATTGCAATATTTTGCTCGTGAAGGTGATCATATAAAGGACAATAGCCAAATCGGCCCAAGATTCAGAATTTGTTCAACCACATATCAATCGAAAGCTTATGATGAGTAGAGTATGCCT